TGTCTGCAGAATACATATGACAAAACCGAGGGAAATTAAAAATCCTATAAATAGCCTCACTGGAGAACAGCTGGTTAGATCCCATACAATAACCAAGTGTTTATACCGATCCACACGTTTCTGCATCACCAAGAAGATGGCAATTGCAACCCTGAAATTCAGTTTGGATCCATGAAAAGTACAAAAGGAGAATGAGGAAATTGAAATGTCAGAGCAGCTGGACCTTATGCTTCCCATTACCGCGTTAAACGCCGAAAGCTGAGGATAAAGGAAAACCCTGAATTTTAGAGTTCAGCATCACTCAAGCGCTTGGTCTTTTTTTCACGGGCATATTCTACATGTGCTACAATTTATTGCTTCATCACAAGGTAAGGTGTAGATGCAAATTGAAAAATGCCTTATTCTATTTGTGCAGAAGGATGCAGGCAGCCCCAGTCCGGCCCCCGGCCCCACGGCAGCATGGTGCTGAGCAGGCACGAAGCTTGGCCACCTTCACCACCCATCCTCCCGGGAGACCTGCTCCAGCTCGGGGCTGTCCCCGAGCTCTAGTCCATGTGTGCACCCTGAGCGTCTTGCACTGAATTTAAATACATTGAGCAAAGCGCAGGCAATTTATCAGTGCAGCATCTCAAAGGACGCATTAACAGTAAGCAAACAACCAGAAAGGCGTCCTGCATTTACTTAATAAAAAAAAAAAAAAAAAAAAGAAACATTTTTTGCTGCAAGAGAACACAAAGAACTTAAAGAGACTCATGATGGGGAGACAGGGAGAAGCTGGACAAGGCATCGCGCGTGTCTCCACTAATGGCTGAAAGGCAGCGGCAATGGAAAGGGCAACCTGTTTCCCGGAGGCGTGCGCTTCTGACAGTTACAGACAATGAACAGCAACATCTCTGTGAAACACAGCAAATGCACACATAACGTAACAGGTCCAGGAAAAACAATTTCTGCCTTACCTTCCTCTACCTTCAGCTTGGGGATAAAATACTTAGGTTTTAGAATAATAGAATTGTTTAGGTTGGAAAAGACCTTTAAGATCATGAAGTCCAACCATTAACCTAGCACTGCCAAGTCCACCACTAAACCATGTCCCTAAGCACCACATCTACACGTCTTTTAAACACCTCCAGGGCTGGTAACTCCACCACTTCCCTGGGAGGCCTGTTCCAATGCTTGCTGTTTTGTTCAAAATGGCATACAAAAATATTCCAAAGCCCAATGCAGGATGGCAACTGCCAGATCAGAAGAAAAGGATGACTCCTGTTACACCAGGTACTGTCTAAGTCTGGTCTACATATATTTAAACATAAACCAGCTTAACCTTTGTAAGAAATTCTTCTGCTTACTTCACCTGATTGTGTCAAATATGTACACAAGAAATGACTATTTTATCCAAAGAACCTTTACTAAAAAAGGTAATTGTGAACAACCATCACTGGATATTGGCATCAACACCACTACATCGAGCTTCCGGCACAGAATGGTCAAAAGAATCGACAGGGAAGATGACTAATGTGAAGCAAGAAGGTGGACACCTCAACTAGTCAATGAAGTGAGATATTTTACATTAAAAAATGTGTGTTTAGATGTGTGTGCATGTATACACATATGTATGTACACATATATATATGCACTGCAAACTTTTTAACATTTTTCTCTGTAAAGTCACGTATCACAGACATCCATGGTAAAGAAAAATACCTACGTTAAGACAAAACTGAATTTAAAAACATTTTTACACTCAGAATTTGTGGTATCATCAGAGACATTTCAGTAATCATAAATGTCAATTATGGAAACCAGCTTAAGAACTGACCTTTGCATTGAGCTTCCCACTGAAAACAAATTTGATTAAAAAACAAACAACCGCTGCCCAACAAACCTTTTGCGGTTTTGCATGGGACTGACAGGAATTGATGTGTGCACCTGTAAAAATTGCCCTCTCACTCCCAAGCTAAGACTCAGAGAAACGGTATTAAGGGCTTCTCCTTTTTATATTGGCACTCTAAGTTAACTTTCAGTAAGTAAATTCAAGCTAACTTTCAAGAAGCAAAAATTACTGGCCATTAAAAATGTGTTTTCTCATCCTATTTAGAAACTTGACACCTCTGAACTTCTTCTTTCAGGAAAATTTGTGCTGCAAAGCCTTGTGGTATTGCTCTCAAGTCTGAGTGAAGGGATGGCATTTGGGGGGAAGATAATCCCTGAACAGGAGCGCTTGTCTTACATGGTGAAAACCTGGCTCCTGTGAATGCTAAAGCCCGTGGTCTACTATGGAAGACATGGAGGGGTCACTTTTCCTAGCAGCTTTCTTTCGGCATCCTCCTGTAGCAGAAATACCGATTTGAATGAAGTCTGAATGGGGACCTTTGGGCGTGGAGGCACCAGGAGAGCTGGCAGGAGGATAAAGCAGTGACAGCTGGACGAGGTCATCCCAATCCCAGCTACTCAAGGCATCGAGGTGGGGAAAGCAAAAGATTCATTGAGGCCATTAGGGGATGATGGTGGGAAGATGAAGAGCAGAACTGGAACTGTACAGCATCCTCACCAGGCAGGGAGACAACAGACATCGAATACATCGAGTGCTGCCTAATGAATTCCCACAGAAGTAGGACAGACTAAAGAGACACGAGATCACAGCCACCGCCAACTCCCAAAGGGTACCAAGGGCACATCCAACAACAAGAACCAACCTCAGGATAGCGCAGGAGACGGGATGTGGACTTCACAGCAGGCACCTCTTGTCCTCTACATGACTGCAAACAACCCCGGTCCCATTACTTGGACACACGTGCCTCGACCCTTGTGAGGACCTGAGCATGACAGAGCAAGTGTAAGTGATACCACTTTGGTTAAAATCAAATAACCTTCTTCTTCTGTATTGCCTTGTACTGAGCTCTTCTGCATCAGCTCAGCTTTGTTGCAAACAATGTCACAGGAAATTCATATTGCATTGGGATGCTCGGATACAACGCCACTGGAGTACAAAGGAAGAGAGTATATCGTAGGAAAAATAACAGCCTGCGCAGTATTGTTCACTGCTTAGAGACTGTAACTGAATTAGTTTCTGGATTTGCTGAAGTGTGTTTTTACAACACTTTGAGGAGGGTAATGATTCGTTCTGGCTGGGTTTTATACGAGTTATAGCCTAGAAGCTGTTAGATTGTAAAGACGGTGACAAGTTGGGTCTGAAAGTGAATCTGAGAGTCTGATTTTCAATTCCCAGTCTCAGCTTGCATATGTGTAAAACGTACACACGTACAAGATTTAGAGTTTGTACCGCAAGACCAATCTGAAAGTGCAGCTCTTGTTCGAGGAGTCTTGCAGGGCCAAATTATAACACTTGCATGAGCACACGAATTTGCTAAGGACATGTGAAAACAAACACATTATCAGAAATACAATGTACAAGCATCCAGTTAAAGGTCCATGTGAAAGCCTCTTCCTACCTTTAGAAAGTAAACGGAACAGAAAAGAGGAAAACTCACCAGCATCCCAGCGCGATCTCCCATCAAGAGCAGTCTCTAAAGCAATTTTCAATTAAATGGAAGAATTAAAGTTGTAATACATTATTGATCATCTACAGAAAGAATATCTGATCGACTGTACTTAAGAATCCTTCCCAGCTTGTTCCTCTTGAATGGAAATTATACTAATAACAAAACAAATAGGGAATTGTAGGACAATATCTAACAGTAAATTCTGAGACACTCTGGTAGCCAATGTTATCTCACATTGCAAAGAAAAGTGTGTTTGTTTGATCCAAAGCAACAAGATGGTTTAAGACAAAATTATAAGAATGTAATTGACCATTTGAGCCACTTTTTAAGAGAAGGGCAATCTTTCTGCCTTTGTAAGAACATTGTTGTTTTACTGCTCTGTAAGTCGTAATTCTGCCTGCTACTTGCATCATGTATCAACTACCTGAGGTAGAAAATACTACCTAAAACTCATCTGTTTTCTGAAGTGTTCAGCAACAGATAACTTATAACAAAGATAAATAAGCTATCAGTATGAATATTGACAGCGTACAAAGATGGCCGTTTCTAGTGCTGACGTGTGTTTTATCTCAGTGCTACATACATGCAGGAACAAGCATATCAGTGTGGTGAAAGACTTCAGCTTTATCATGGGCTCCCCCAAAACTGTTCGGAAAGAAAGAAAGAAAGAAAGTGTATATGTAGCCTTCTATAGAGTGCAACAGTTCCTGAAATTCTACAATAAGGATGAAAAAGACCAAGGAAATGTATTAATTTTCTTAGACAAGTTTTTAAAATAATATTTTATTTTCTGAGTCAGTGGTATATTTAAAAACAATCTACCGTAAGAGTAAAAAGATTGTAGATAGTAAAAAACGAAAAGTGTGATGACAATAAAAAACGCTAGAGTATAAAGTTAGTTTCCTTCCTCCCTCCCAACACCCCACCCCCTCATTGTCCAATATTTCTCAGAGCCTAATATCTGGAAAAAAATTGGGTTTTTTTTTTTTACACTTTCAGCAATTAGGAAATTAAAAATACGTAAGGCATTCCTTGCAGGTACATTAATTCATTATTACATGAAAAGCAGGCACCATAAAAATTAAAACATTCTAAAAACCATCATATATACAAACTCTGTACAGAATGATGGCACAAGGACAAAGTGATTCCATTCAGTTCATCCTAATCCACATGAAATATTACACATTCAAGAAGAAAAGAAAAAGCTCTTCCCATTCTTGTACTCAACTGCTAGGTTCAGAATGACCAGGAGTCTCCTATCTGCCTACTCTGTTTCTTTTCCTACATGCTCGTGCCCGTCAGCAGCTAAAAGGCTTCCTCGCTTTACCCACTGATCAACACCCAGAAGAACAGCCAACTGAATGAAAATGGAAATGACTGATCACCAACGACTAATTTTACATAGCCCATTAGCAATCAGTTTATTTGTAATACAAAACAATTAAAGAGAAGGCACATTTCACAAATAAGATGTGTCTCATTTTTAACCCTGGGCAGAACTGTTATTTGGGGAAATCCTACGGCAGCTTCTCCTTACTGTGAAGCCTACTCCAACGTGCACTGAATTCAATGTGAATATCGTCATCGACTCCTATATACACTGAGATTAGGTACAAAATACTCAGCTCATTTTAAACTCCATAGCTACCTAAATGCTTTAGGTACAAAATATTCAACTCTCATTTTAATCTCCACAGCTACCTATGTGCCTGAAGTTATTCAGAAGAAGCAGGGAGAAGGTTTAGGAAGAGGGTACTGTCAGTTGATGAACACCTCCTGGTCTCAAGTAGAAATCCAGATTTCTTTCAAGTTACAGGAGGGAATAACCCCAGAAAGAGGGGTGATGTAGTGTTGTTTGATACACGGCTAGAAATGGATTTCTTACAGAGTTAGAGTCATTGCACTAAATGTTAGATACTGCACGCCTGAATGAGGTAAACATTATATACCATAAAATACTTAGGGAAATGAATTGTTACAGCTTTATCTTTGGAAAAAATGCTTCCTTCTTCACTGGACAATCCCAGAGTCAACAGACGTTTGCTTCCGAGTTGTCTTTGGAGGCGGAGGCGGGGGAGTCTTGCTGGGGAGCGGAGGCGGCAGGTGCTGGAAAACCAATTTTGATAGACCGTGTTAGCAATGAATGGATTTTTGAAACATTTCCTGGTTCATATATAACTGCGAGAGACGGCAGGTAAGTCTGTAGCCATCTGACTCCTAAGAGCTTCTCTGCAGAATTTGCTGCTATGAATACCGAATGCTCTTGGCCATTAGCTTAAAATACAACTTTTACTTTTGACAATGAAAAAGATCTCTCAAGGCTTCCTGATTAATTAGCTCAGTATTTCAGGAAAAATCTTGTGAAAGCAGTGGAGAAGTTTATAATTCCCCACTTTATATCATGATAGGATATTGATTTCTTGGTCTGTATCGATTGCCCTCAGCCTCTATGCACTACAGAGCTTAAAACCTAAGTTGAAGCAACAGCTTCATTGCTTTTCCATTATTTTTCTATTTTGCACATTTAGAACACAAATAATTAAAAAAAAAAAAAGAAATAATTTAAAGACATAAGTAACTTGTAATTTACTATTACACATTCAGTTATAATTAAAATATTCAAAACAGAAATCCAGACTGTTCAAACACACATATTTTAAATCACATCATACAACAGAACAAGAGCACCCTCGGTTAGATTCATCGGCTAATTGAACAAATTAAAAAAGTCATTATGGAAATTAAGACTTTTTTCCATAATGTTCAATCATATATATGATAAAATCTGTTTCAGAAAGAGGTTGAGAACACTGCAATTTGCTCATGCACTTTGCCGTCTGTTTTCCTACAGCATTTTGGCTAAGCAGCCGTTGCAGTTCTCCCATCACTGCACTAAGGCCGTACTGCGGTGTCACACCTCATAAACGCTGTTTTGGTTTTGTTTTTTCCTAAGATTCTTCCCCCGCTTAGCCAGCCACTGCCTTTTGTTTTCCTCCAAACATAACGATGCTTTTTCATGTCCGCTTGCTGTGCCTCGGTGCACCCGTCCCGCCTGACCCACCCCGGACTGCCGACTCCACGCACTAACACTTAAAACCCTATGATGCACACCGACTCTGCCAAATTTCCTTAATCACTGCTACGAGAACAGTTCAAATACCTGAAATGCCTTAGCGTTACATTGCATGTACTGCACTTGCAACCTCGATACTCGTATTCCAACTTTTTTTAATGTCTTGGACAAAATAACCGATGATTTCTCCATCACAGTAAGCAACTGGTATACACGCAGCTGATAAACCACGTGAAAGTGCATAAGAAACAAGACTGTTCCTTTTAAAAGCTATCCAAAGCTGCTATCCA